TTTTAAATAATTTATTGAAATCGGAGGAACTACACGCAAGTATGTTAGTAGTTTTGAATGCTACATCTTGTACTTCTCCTGTAACTAATCTTTCGTATACACTATTTACATGAAGGTTAAATTTTATAGATGTTTGCAGACATGATTGTTTCAACTTAAAAATTAATTTATCTACAGTAAAGTCAAAAAAAAGCTGATAATCTATAAATTCTAAAATATTCTTAATGATTAAAGTTTTAGAACATTTCTTAAATCTTTCAATTTCAAATAATCCTTCGTCAGTAGATGACAACCGCTGTTTTTTTGTCACCGTTTTTCTTCTCATAATGTAACTGTAAATAGATGTTAAAAAAAAATAAAAAAAAATAAAGATAATAATAATAATATTAGTGATAATAATAGAAGCATCATTAATTTTTAAATGATTAACAATTAATGTTGTCCATTATATCTTTTCTTTTATCGTATAGATACGATATCTGGTTTCGAATACTCAATTCGCACTTTTCAAGAATATATTTTAAATATTCAAATTCATCAATTAATTTTTTTTTCAATTAATAATACTTCTCTTTTCGCTTTTAAATTTGTTTTTTTTTATTTTTTCCCTAATTTCATTCATTTTACTATAAAATTTTTTTGTTGTCTTTGCCATTTCTTGGTCGCTATCGAACCCCTGCTTTTGAATTGCAATTATTTCTTGCATGATTACATGTACTGCGTCCATTGTCCTGTAAATTAATATCATTTACATACTAACCATTAGTTAATAAAAAATATTAATTTTAATGTTTACATATTATCTATAAAACATTAAATTGTGATAGCAAGGATTGTTTATAGTAATTTGATAAATAAAACATTTTATAATAGGTAGTAGATTCAATTATTATGTGATACAGTGTGAAATAATTAAAAAACAAGTTTCATTGAATGTAGTTTTGTAAAACCTTTCAGTTAATGATAATTATGACTATAATCATAAGAGTTTATATTTTAATTTTGAATGCTAGTTTTAAAACATTATTAAATTATAATATAAGAGATAGTTAGTATACAATACTACATACCTATAGTTTATCTCATTTCAGAAATTCTAGCCGTGATTTCGTTTTTTATTTATGTATGTTGCCAACTCTAATCTCTCTGCACCACAAATTTGTTTATTTCGAAAATACATAATGTATAAATTACTATATTTGCTAAAACTTTCTCTATTTTCTTCTTCCAATAAAATTAATAAACGTTTCAACTTATTAATTTGAGTAACATCAGGTTGTAGACTTGTTCGAAGTAAGAATATCTCATATTTTGTACTTCTTTTATTTTTTTTATATTGTCTACGCTCCCATCTTTGTGCAATTTGAGCTTCCTCATTACTTTTAATTAAATTTTCCATCCTATTGACAATAAATTCGAATCTAGTTGTAAGCTCGTTCAAAGATAACCAATTCATTATCTGTAATTTTTACCCAAGTATATTAGTTCTAATATATCAAATTATTTTATACAAAGATATTTTGTAGGGGTTTTGTAGAAAAAAACTAGTAACTTAAACGAATATATTATATAATTGTATGTAATATGACTGTATTTAAAAAAAAAAATATTATCATTTAGAACTTAACATAAAAAATTTATAAATTACTATTGTTACCACTATTCATATAATTATATTGATCATATAAATATGATAATCCTATTTGATTTTT